ACGTGGAGCATCTGGGGAACCGAGCTGGGTTAAAACCAAATAAACTAACCCTTCATGGCTCCAGCTAGGCCAGCTCTGGCCCAGAAAAAGCACATGCAGGAAGGCACGAGAAGGATGCACTGAAGGCAGGGCTGTTGCTTTGGGTGGTCCTGCTGACCCATGCCAACTTAGTGTGCTCACAGCTAGCAAGTAAGGATAGAGAGAGATGCAACACCAAAAAGCAAAGCTGACTTTCAGCACAGAAAATAAAGAGGGAAGGATAACTCTCTGTAAATCCCTCTCTCTGCAAAAAGCTTGGTGACTCACCTCCACCCAGCATTAGCTGTCTAACAAATTCCATCCTGAATCACACAAACTTGCAAGCGTTATCTTTCAGGAGTGACCATATCCTGTAACAACCATCTTTGATCCTGCAGCTTCCTTTAACTACCCTCCATCAGAGCAACTCTGATCAATCACAAACCTCTGAACTGCATCAACTGCCATTAGAAAGAAACCTGATCTCATCAAAATAGTCTTCCTTTAAAATGTGCAGTTTCTACCCAAATTACTCTGGGCAGAGAAGCAATGTGCACTAAGTTCTCCAGCTCTAATGACATGTTCAAGCTTCAGTACCTTGTACATTCAGTAAACCTAAATGAGTAAAATACATCCCATAGGATGGACATGTCCCTCTTCAATGCTCTGAAGTATCCGATGCAAGTACCATTAAATCTCAAGATAATGAACAATAAACTCAGGCTCTTAAAGACTTAAGCAAAACGTACTAATTAGGTCTTCTTTCACCACTGATGTAAAGCAGTTTAACTGCATACAAAGCTGAATGAGTATCAACCACAAATGTGTTTAAAAAAAAAAAAAAGTTTTAATATAGTTGGTTTTCCTCTGTAAAACACTGGATATAAACAAAAACTTCTTCCTAGCACCTTGGTATGCAGCAGTAAAAAGTCACCTGAACCCACGTGGGGTGAGCATGCAACTTACCCAGAGCTCAGCCTCTTTGAGACAAAGAAAGATGCCAAATTTAGACCATTGGGGGGGCGGAGGGAAAGGGGGTGGGGGAGGAAGAGAGACATTTCTTCTACCTAAGATCCTCATTATAATTACCACTACCGTTGTATCATCTTAAATGCACTCAAGGCTTTACACAAGCAGAAGAGAAACCCATCCCATGTTTCAAAGAGCTTGCACGCTGTACAACTTGCCGACAGCACGACAAGGTGCACACCAGACTTGTGGCGTCAGAGCTGAACTGTGATGCTACCAGGCAAGACTGCTAGATTCAAATTTCCACACTCCTGGCTTTCATGCACCAGAGTAGCTCAGGCTTTGTCCCCTGCAGGAAGATGGCACAGGACGAACCCAGACACAATTAAGGAGCAGCATTCATGATCTCTAAAAGCAATCCTGTCTTCCTTCACTGGAGGGAAAGCACTGGAAATGGGAGGTGAAGCAAAAGGCAAGCACATCTTCCCAGGAGAGCTCCAGAGATAAATCCTCCAGGAAAATAAGAAGCTGCATCTGCTGAATCTTGACCTCTTTAGCATGGCGAAATTCAAAGACCAAATCCTTTAGTTTGTGTTTAGTTTAGTTTAGTGTTATATAAACTCCAGACTACTCTCCCATTTCAGCACTTCCAGACAAGCTAGCTTCAAACATGCACAGAATCACAGAATGGTTTGGATTGGAAGGGACCTTAAAAGATCATCTAGTTCCAACCCCCCTGCCATCAGCAGAGACACCTTCCACTAGACCAGGTTGCTCAAAGCCTCATCCAGCCTGGCCTTAAGCACTTCCAGGGAGGGGGCATCCACAACTTCCTTGGGCAACCTGTTCCAGTGTCTGACCACCCTCACAGTGAAGAACTTCTTCCTAATATCTAATCTAAACCTGCCCTTGTTCCAGTGTCTGACCACCCTCACAGTGAAGAACTTCTTCCTAATATCTAATCTAAACCTGCCCTCTTTCAGTTTAAACCCATTTCCCCTTGTTTTGTCATCATTCATTTAGCTTTGCAAGTTAAATCTAGAGCTGTTCCAGACCAATGTTATTCAAGTCATATCCGTAAGGGTTTATGCACCAGATTTAACTGGAGACATAAAAGTGTTGGCGTACCCACCCTGTTGTAGGTGTATGTTTACATCTCCCTCGATGAGACAGACTGGGGGGAGGAGAGACAGGATGCCTATTTGCCATTTCATGCAACGACAGCGAGCTGCAGTGTAAAGGAAAGCCGCACAATGTACCTGGTAGGGTAAATCAGCCATCCTCAAGTAAGTTTCCATTTTCAGACAGAAGGGAGACAAACTCGGAACACCATTGCTAGGCCTCGAAAACTGATGCAGTATGATAGCATCTTTCGAATCAAGCTCTTGCTCTTTCCTGTCAAAAACAAAAGAGAATGAAAGAAAGAAAGAAAGAAAGAAAGAAAGCCCAACACAAACAGGCACATCAGTACAAGAAACACACTGAGGAAAAATCCTGGCCGAGGCAACACACGCATCCTCCCTCCCTCCCTCCCTCCCTCAGCGGAGCACTGCAGGCTCC